AAAAGTCTATCTGAAAATTCTCTTGGATTTTCTCTGACCCAATCATCCCATCTATTAATGACTTTTCCTTCTTACTTACTGATTCTGTATGTTTTAAGTCTTTTCTTGTCTTATCTCACTGGTTAGGATATTGGTTTGATACATTGTTATATTATTTGGATCTTAGAAAGCTTTAATCAGTCCACTAACATTATATAATAATTGGCAGAAGTTCTTTTTGTGGGAACCTCTTGTCAGACTGCTTCTTTCTATTTCGAATTTCCTACAAGGATCCCTTTTAAAAAATCAGGAATGAAAGCTGAATTTGATCAAAAGTGGCTTCTATATCTGTTGATATGACCTTTAAGAGACGAGTGTGTGTAGTATATGTTTGGTGCCTGCTTGTGAGTATGTGGCTTACACCCCCGTGTGTGCCCATACAGAGCCAGAGCAGGACCTCAGGCATCCTCCATGGCACTCTGGCTTGTCGCCTTGAGACAGGGTCTCTCACAAAGCTACCAGTTCACCATTTTGGCTAGGCTGGCTGACTAACAGGCTCTTGGGGATTTGCCTCCACTCTGTTCCCAGTGCTAGGGTTACAGGAATAATCAGTCATACTGGCTTTCACATAAGGATTTGAACTCAGGTCCTCAGGCTTGCAGAGCCAATGTCTTACTAAAAAAAGCCACCTCTAAGTTCTCCTTAGTGTCTTTACTTTGTGATATTGTGAATTCATTAATTGATATGGGAAGCTAAATAAGACGTGTATTCCCAGATTCATTTTGCAACTAGTAAGTCTTTTCTTAGAAACAGGTATGAAGGACACAAGTACACTACTCCTTCATGCAAATCATTTGGGCCATCTTTAGTTTTTCTTTAACACACACATGCACATACACATACACAGAAGCACACATATGTGCATGTATCATGGGTATATAGGCCCATGTTATTTAGACAGGATGAAACCACCTACGGTGCTACAGTGGATGTTAGTACTCACCATGTTAGCAGTGGGGATACTCGTGGCTGAATTACTTATTATTAGGTATTCTGTACCTATCAGACATTGCAGAACTCAATTATGTCATTTTCTTTTTCATCCCATAATTGTTTCCATTACACTTTAGAAAATAGTCCAGGAAAATGAAGTATTACATTACAAATTCCTTTAATAAGAGCATTTAAAAATTAGTATTGATCAAGGTACCACATTTTATGAGAGTATTCTAATTTGGATTTAGAAGTAGGCCTCTATGCCAAGGTAGGAATGTGTCTGGCATTTCAAGGAACAGCGGAAGGCTGGTGGAGCTAGAAGAGCATGAAAGATGGGAAACAGAAGACTAGAGAATTAGGGGTATGGGGGCAATCACAGACCGAAGCTGATGACCATTTTAAGAATTCTGGATATCATTTATTGAGGGAAAGATATTAAAGGGTCTCTGGCAAGTAGATAAGAACCAGAGTTTAAAAACTGAGAGATGGAGAAAAGAAACATCTGAGGACAGGGCCTGGCATTCTGGCATTTGGTTTAGGGACAAGATCGACAACTAAGAGAGTTGTCACTTGAAAGTGTCAGAGAAGCCAGGCAAGGATGAGGTCCTCTAGGTTTGGGGGTGGGTGGGTAGGTGTTTCAAGAACAGAGAATCAAGTATGAACTCTCTGTCAGAAGGACTGAGAACTGAGAACCACCTATTTGATGTTATCTCTAATGGGACTATTAAAAGAGGTCATATCAGGGGCAAAGTCTCGACGAAGAAGATGCTGTAGGATTCAGGCTTTAAGCAAAAGCACTCACTCCATCTGTGTCCAGACCAGAGCAAATCAGGCAGAAACCCTCACATCAGCAGTACATCTCCCGAGCACCACAGAGGGCCATCTTGCGATTCCTGTCAACTGTCTGGAATGAGGCAGCATGCCTCCTTATTTAATACGCAATTGAACTTGTTTACTAATCTCTTGGCAGAATGCAAGAAAAAAAGTCCAGAAAATTCTGAACAGAAATAAGAAAATCCATTAGGTTTCTAGTATATTTTTCTTACTGTCACTGTTTTAGGAAACGAAACAGCTTTTCTTTTGTAAGTTTAGCTAATGACCGAGTGAGAAAGAGGCCAAAGCTCCCTCCACTAACTTATTGTAAAAAGAGAAAGTGACCGTGCAATTCTGCAATTCATCTCATGATGAGCATGACAGGTGGAACATTTCACAGACTTCAATTCTAAAAGTTTTTGCTTGATTCGAAAATTATATACAAACTAGTTAAAAACTGATATTGAAAATATCCACTTTGTAACAACCAGTTTGAGTTTTTTTTTTTTTTTTTAATCTTAACCATAGTGGATTAGTATGTGTAATTCTGCAAGAGGTATTGTGTCCCGTTCAGAACACTTGCAGTCCATATGCTAAGTGAATGTAACACTTAAACAAGCCAGAGCTCTCGTGCGTAATCGCATGCTTCACTTAGTGGGGTTTTGAGGAGCTCTGTCCCTTCAGCCTGAGGGGCCAAAGGAAGTGGGGCTGAGGTGAGCTGCTAGCGGGCAGAGAACAGGAGAAAAGAAAGGACACTCAGCCATTACTGACTCACCTGGACACACCTGGTCTGCATTTGGTCAGCCCCGTTACACACTTCTCCACGCTCCATAACTAACCCAAATCACTTCAGGAGAAATAATTTCAATGTCTGTTAAAGCCAAGGTCATATTCACCTCAACCCAACAACACACTGTGCCCCCATCCCTGACCACTCTAGGATGGACAAATTGGTTTAGTAACCTCTCTGACCCTCAGTTTCCAAGGAATCGCCCGGCCATTGTACTGTTATGGAGATCAAGTGAGATTTTAATTAGCAAAGGACACAAAGCCCTTTAAACTGTTGCTATTGCAGTTTAGTAACAATAGGTTACTTTCCTAATTCTAAAGCCCTTTCATGAGCCTAGAAAAGGAGGCAGAAGTTCCCACACAGTTTTAAACAATTGTTTTTAACAATGACCCCAGGTGGGACCATCACAGTTCGAACATAGCTGGATGCAATTAAGGGCTAAACTAGAGCTCGGGGAAACTGCAGGTCTCTAGCCTTCTCCCTGGTGTTCATTCTCTGCCAAAACAGAGGAGCATACATATTCATCAATGGTAGTTACATAAATCATCCCCATTTCCTTAAGCATACGAACATAGACAATTATATTTTCATTAAATCTGATGGGGGAAATGTAAACGTTTTAGAACTAAAGTTGCACATATGTTCAATTATTTCATTTTTAAAACAGCAGGGAATTAGTATTTGCCAAAATGGAAAACAAAACTAACGTGAGTAAAAAAGAACAGGTGTTAGGGATTCAATCAATAGACAACATCACAGGTTTGTTTATTATAGAATTCATGAAAACGTGCATTTCTCTAAACACAGAATAATCTATGTTTATCCTACACCTTGTTTTCTCCTTTGAACCTAACAGGAACTACTGAGGACCGAAAGAAACACTAGTCAACCTACTGGACAGCTCCCAACCCTGGCTCCTAGAGCACTCTCTTCACTTTACCTGCACCTTTCTGAGAACAGTTCCCGGGTTTTCATGTTCTGTAATTTAAGAAGGAGTAGTCCCGAGGCCTCATCACCTTCAGTCTCTCTCATCTGTGGCATCTAGTCCTCTAGCATCGTTCATGTCCCCAGTTACTGTTTGTCCTTTGTCTCCGGCATCGATCGATCTGTAAGTTCTGCTGGGCAGGGGTTTTAATCTGAATGGTGTTTTAACATCATTGGCTTAATATGTGTCTTGATTTTTCTCTTGCTTAGGTACACAGCTTTATTCAGTTTCCTGGGAACAACCTAGAACTATTTTCTGTAATGGCCTCCCACACTGACCTCCCATGAAAAAGCAATGGTTCCTATGCAGGAGTCCTGTAAGTAGTGGAATCCATTTTCATTTCCTGTTTTGTCTTTAGAGTGATTTTGATACTTTAAAGTGGCATCATAGCATGCAGCATATACATGTGTGAACTGGCTAATCAAACCAATTAAGGTGCTACCTCATGTGCTTATTTTTGCAGTGAGCACACTTAACCTCTACAAATATCAAGTGTATGTGTGTATTATGAACTATAATCACCGTGGTATGCAACCCAGCTCCTCCCCATGCTTTTCCTAACCTAACACTGTATCTTTAGCCAACATCTTCCCAACCTGACACTCTAGTCCCTGGAAACCACCATTCTGTTCTCAGTGTCTTAGAGTGTGATGTTTTTTGATTCTACTTATCAACCAGGACATACAATGTTTCTCTTTCTCTGCTTGGCTTACTTCAGTTAACATAATGCACTCCAGGTTCATATTGTTGTAAAAGGCAAGATTCTTTCTTGAAGGCTGAATAGTATTCCACTGGGTTTATGTAGTGAAGTTTCTTTACCTATTCATCAGCCTTTGGACACTCAGAGTGCTTGTATACCTTGGCTATTGTGAGTAACACTGAAATAAATACACAATGGCAACACACCATTCATGTCCTTGGAATATATACCCAGAGCAGTGGGAGTTCTATATTTAATCTTTTCAGGAGCCTCTGCACTGCCTTCCAGAATGGCCATGCTGATGTGCATTCCCACCGGTGTGTACCAGGGCTCCCGTCCCTCCCTACCTCCACTTATTATCCTCCATCTTTGAGTAACGCCACCCTAACAGGAGTGAGGCAACACCTCAACACAGCTTCATTCTGTGTCCCCTGGTGGTTAATGATGTTGAACACTTTTTCACACACTTGTTGGCCATCTGTAACTTTTTTTGAGCTCAGTCTGTCCAGACCCATTGTCTGTTGTAATCAGGCTCCGTGTTGTCCTGCTACTGAGTTGCTGCATGTGCATTTGGAGCAATACATAACTTTCAAACCCACCCTCCAGTTCCCAGGCTGTCTCCCCACTCTGTGGATCACTCTCTTGGCTGTGTGGAAGAGTCCTGTTTTGCTGTGACCCCATTTATTTATTTATTTATTTATTTATTTATTTATTTTTGCTTTTGTTTCCTGTGTTTGGGAGTCCCATGAAAACACCCATTTTTCCAACTCTGTCCAGGAGTGTTTCCTCTATCCTTCTAATGGTTTTATACTTCAGGGTCATGTGGATAGATCTTTTATTTTGATTTATTATTTGTGAGATGAATATCTAATTTCACACTCCTGCAGATGAAATGTCTAATTTTCCCAGCACTTTGTTAACTTTTATTGTTTAAATTACCGCATTATTTTATGTGCATGGGTGTTTTGCCTGCATGAATGGCTGTGCACCACGTGCATGCCTGGTGCCCCAGGGGCCAGAAGTGGGTGTCAGATCTCCTGGAACTGGAGCTACGGTCAGTTGTGAGCCACAATGATCAGGCCTAGGTCCTCTGGAAAAGCAACCAGTGCTCTTAACCTGGATCCATCTCCTAGCCCCATTGGGTTCATTTTTAAAAGCTGTTCTCCACTGATGCACCTTTCTGGGGGAAAACTGCATTAATTTTTGTCTATATGTACATTTTCCCAATAAATGGCCCACATATTCCATAGTCACTGATCATTACATGTTTATCATAATTACCATTTTCTCAGATATTAATGTTTTTAACACTCTTGATCCTATGTGTGCTTGTACATGTGTGTAAAAATTCTTTTTATTTTCACAGAAACCAGCCTTGATTTTCAGATACAATGATCTTAAAATCTAAACATTTACCATAAATCACCTTTGGGTAGGCTTCTGAGGTTTTTCCTGCTCTGTAGCCTTTTGACTAGTGATCATTCTGTGATACATCTTTTTGAGGAAGTTTGCTCTAGGACTTAAATTCCTTTCCATGACACCCTCATCTCATGATATCTCAAATGTTTCCTTCCTTAATCCCTCCTTCTGCCAGTTCTTATCTCTTGTATTCAATTCAATGTGCACCTTGAGGGAGTAACTGCTTGAACATTCTACTAAGTAATTATGTGATGGAGTTGGTTGTTGATTTTGATACAAAAAGAATCACTGTAATTATTACCTCTTGGCTTCATATACAATGTAAGGACTTTTTTTTTTTAAAGACAGGGTTATCCTCCTGCCTCAGCTTTCATACATGCTTGAATTACAGGCCTGCACTCCCACCCCTGGCTAACAGCATTTGTCATGTTTCAGGAGAATGTTTTATAACAGACTTCATTACCAGGAATATGGACTTCTCTCCCAGCTCTGGGTTCTCTATAGTAGAGGCACCCACTCTGAAACACGTATTTGCGATACTTTGCATCTCCACAATTCCAAAGATATTCTGTCATGAATACTAACATTTATGAGTAACAGAGACTCCTTTCCATGCCAGGCTACTACATTCAAATGGAGAATTGAATTGTTTAGGATAGTATACTATCAACAGTGGGCTGCCATTTTTTTTGTTGTTTTTGCTTTATCTGGTCATGTTAAAGATGCTGATTTTGTCCATAAAAGAAAAAAAAAACAATCTTTTTTTCCCTTGGTTCATAAAACTCTGGGATGTAACATATTATGCAATGTGCATGGTGCTGAGATGTGATGGGAAGTCATGTGTGATGGGCAACTCATCTAGAAAGGACCCTTCAAAGCTTCTGCACTTCTTGTGTGATGTTGGGTTATTCTGTGTTTTCAGACACTGATCAGCTTCTGTAGCACTCTCAAATCAGGTTCCTCTTCTTATACCCACCATAGTAGGGTAGTTATGATGCATCTGTTCATTATAGGCAGACACACTCATGATTACAACAGGAGTTATTACATAGTTAGTATTTATAATGTCTGACAGATAGATATCAAACAATAGTCTGTGAAACAGATGTCCAAAACTTGGGCTGAATGACGAGAGACCAGAATCTAGGGAAGATCAAGAGAGGTAAAAGGAGAGGGATTATAGGATCATCCCCACAAGGAAATCCTCATAGCAGGGGGTATGTATTGTATTTCTGACATTGTTCAACAAAACAAGAGTTAAGTAAGAGTACTCATTCAAAAACTTTTGGTGGTGCTATGGGATTGAGCCTAGGGTCTTCTGCATGCTAAGTAAGTCCCCCACCACTGAGCTACACCACAGTCCTAAAGTTTTGTATAGCATGAGAACATGTATGGAAACAAATGTATAGCCCTTACTCAATAAAGTGTCTCGTTCCTATTTTTATCTGAGTAGTTATACATTGTGCTTTGGAATCTTATTCTGGGTGTGACTGTTTATCAATTGCAACAGAATTAAAGACAGGATCCATTGATATGAAACGAAGAGCAGAGGGGAGTGGCAGAGGAGAGAGGGTCTTCCTTTGCTTCCCTCACCCCGCTACACTCTAGACACAGGACACACACGACCACCAACTTACTGCAGGAAGCAGCTTTCAGCCTCGTCGAGAACATGGCTGCAATCACTCTCTAGTTAGATCCAAATGACTGAGTTGCCAGGTGAACTGTGTTGGTGGCAAACTCATTCTCCCTCACCTCCAGCACCCTCTTTCCCAGAGATCAAGCAATTTTCCTGGGTAATGAACTGTGGCCGCTATCAAGTGGCCTGGAAATTAAGGGGTCCAAAGTGTCTTCCTAGTCCTTGTTTCCTTCTGACAGCAGGGGACCTCTTGCTGCTACACCACCGACCTGTTTGTTCCAAGGCCAGCACGGGAGGGATGAGAAAGCAAGTGAAATTCAGGGAACACTTTCCTAGCTAATGACCATCACAGTCTGCACGCCGTGTTTGTCGGTTAGATGATTATCTTCAGTCTGTTCTTCAGCAGCGGAGGGAGCAGATGGGAGCAGAACACGCTGTGAGCCAGCCCAGCGCCTTCTCTAAAAAAGTGGCCTCGGGCTTTGATTTACACCGATAACACACCAAAGTCTGGAGAAAGTGAGTGTAAGGGAACACAAACTTGTAATAAACGAGGCTGTACAAAAAAATAACAAAAATAATTCAAAGCTATATACTTTAAAATGTTTAATATGTCTTCCATAGAAAAATGAAGAGGAAATACCTATAATAAATTCACTTCATTAGCTCAGGAGAATATTTTTTTCTCATGTAGTCAATGTTTTTAATCATTTTTAGTGACAATATGAGTAATTTCTTCTATTAAGCATTTTGCTATTTATAAAGTTTATGTTAAACATTTGATGTTTTATATGTTCAAACATTACTTTTTGGCATTTGCTAAAAATGTTTCCAGTTTGCTAATGAAAATACCTGCCAGAAAACTCTCATTATTATATGCCATTTTAAGAGAAAAACAACATAGGTATTTATTGGTAATTCAAGCTACTAAAGGAAAAAGGTATTTATTTAACAAAACCTAACTCACCACAAAGGAAGTGACTAAATTACACAATTTTTACATTTACATAATCTAAATTTTAGGTTGCACTAGCTAAACATATGCTTATTCAGAAATAGCTTTATCTATGAATGAAATGAAGCTCCTGAAGATGAAACAATTATCCAACCCCATGCAGTAACTATGTGGGACATCAAATGAAGACCTAAAATAAGGCTCTTGATGGGAATTTTTAATGATTTATAAGAATACCAAATACAAAATATCCTAGAAAGAAAAATATGATCAAGTTCAACTGCATTCAAGAGTTAACAGAATTCTGTCTTAATTTGGGTTTCTATTGCTGTTATGATAAAAAAAAAAAAAACCACACACTATGACCATAAGTGACTTAGGGAGAAAAGTTTTTATTCCTCATTACAGCTTGTTAGTCCATCACTGAGGGAAGCTGGGGCAGGAACTCAGAGCAGGACCAGGAAGCAGAGACCTCAGAGGAGCTCTGCTTACTGGCTTGCTCAGCTTGCTTTTTTAGACATCCCAGGAAGGACTGCTGCCTGCCCAGGGGCGACACCACTCACAATGGGCTGGGCCTTCCCACATCAGTCACTAGTAAGGAAATGCACTCCAGGTTATTTCTGTGGTATTGTATTCCCCCAAATATTGTGCATGCTAATAAACTTATCTGGGGTCAGAGACAGAGCAGCCACAATATTAAACATAGAGGATAGGCAGTGGTAGCACATGCCTTTAATCCTAGCATTCCAGAGGCAGAAATCCATGTGTTCAAGGATACAGACAGGCATGGTGACTCATCACACCTTTAATCCCAGAAAGCAAGCCTTTAATCCCAGGGAGTGATGGTAGAAAGCAGAAAGGTATATAAGGCATGAGGACCAGAAACTAGAAGCATTCGGCTGGTTAAGCATTTGGTTGGTTAAGCATTCAGGCTTTTGAGCAGCAATTCAGCTGAGACCCATTCTAAATGAGGACTCAGAGGCCTCCAGTCTGAGAAGACAAGACCAGCTGAGATCTGGGGAGGTGAGGTAGCTGTGGCTTGTTCTGGCTCTGATCTTCCAGTGTTCACCCCAATAACTGGCCTCAGGTTTGATTTTATTAATAAGACTCTTTAAGATTCATGCTACGTATTTCCTATAACCAAATCTCATGGAGGCATTTTCTCAACTGAGAGTCCCTCTTTCCCAACAACTCTTGACTTATATCAAGTTGACAATATACATAGTCAGGACAAACAATCTGGCCGAAGTCTATTCAGATCATTTACCAGATAAATGGTCATACATGGAAATCAAGCTAGAACCCTACTGACTAGCAAAGAGTGCTAAAGGAGCATTGCAGTCTGTTGGGGATGGGGGTGGGGTAATCAACAATCTTATCCAACTGTGAACCTTTCAAGCCACATTGCCAACATGCCAGGCAAGATGCACCCCCCCCCCAATGTAACAGTACCATGACTGTTGTGGGAATAACAAACCGCTGATTGGATTTGAGGAGAAAATGCATGGTACTGCCAATCTGGTCCAAAATCAATGGCTAGTGTGGCCATAGGTCGTCCTAAGAGGTAACTTACTGCTGTTGTTTCGATAAATGGGCATATCAAACTGCTTCTAAATATTTATGTTTATACCCATAGACAAATGCTGTTCTCAGCCTTGGCCACAGAAGCTTCTCTTGGCAGTAAAAGGCAGTGACTTATGGCTATTCAAGGTGCTGAGATTAAGTGAAAGTTCAGTGCTTAGCTCTAAACAGGACGTTTATATCACCCTCCTCTAAGGCCTGAGTACATCAAGAAAGAGAGGGTAGAAAGAGTGTAAGAGTCTGATGACAGGGAGAAAGGCTGGGCAATGCTACTTTCTGGGCATGGACAGAGCTACTGCAATCATGATCTTAAGCAGCCGCAGATGCCTTCACTGTGCATACATAAAACCTACCGGCCCTGCCGACAGTCAGGGAAGGAAGAGGGGCTCATGGGGCCTTACCCCTCCCTGGGGAACTGTTGGCTGTTGATAGGAGCCATGGAAGGGACTGCCATTTTTTTGCAGCTGTATACCCACTGCGAAGTCCACCACACTCCAGCAGAGTTCCACACCCATTGTCTTCCAGTGGCTAAATTCAGTGGGTTGCAAAAACAAAAAATGACGTGGATATGGGAAACTGTCCTGTAAGGGGAAGAAGGGAGTTAGCGGGGATGGGGGGAGAGAATAGAGAGAGGGGAGGTGAAGGTAATCAGAATGCATTATGTATGTGTATGAAATTGTCAAAGAAAATTTAATAAAAATAATCAAGTGTCAGTCAGAAGCCACAGCCAGTTCTCTGTGAAAATCTTCATTAAAATATGTTAATTTCAAATTATAACAGAGTATAGGAAGTGGTTCATGGGCAGAGTACTTGCCTGACATAGGAAAGAACCCGAGTTTGGTCTCCAGCTTTATAAACAACAACAACAACAACAACTTGTATGTGTGAATTAATTTAATACAGAGTACACTGTTCATACAAGTTCTTGTCCCATTTAAATGTTTTCTATCTGTTCTGGCTAGTTTTTGTGTCAGTTTCACCTAAGGTAGGGTCAACTGGAAAGAAGGAATCTTCATCAAGAAAATGCCTCCATGGCAGGCCTGCAAGCATGTCTGTAGGGCGTTTTCTTGATAGATGATGGAGGGGCAGTCTATTGTGGATAGTGTCTCCCTGGGCTGGTGGTCCTGGGTACTATAAGAAAGCAGGCTGAATTTTCTGTAGAAGCAGGGGCAAGTCTGTAAGCAGCACTCCTCTATAGCCTCTGCTTCAGTTCCCGCCTGCAGGCCTACGACCTGCTTGAGTTCATGCCCTGACTTTCCTCAGGGCTGGACTGACCTGAGAATTGTAAGCTGAAATAAACCCTTCCTTCTCCGGGTTATTTTGGTTGTGGCGTTTTATTACAACAATAGAAATCAAACTATGACACCATCCTTTGTAAAATGACAAGGAATTCAAATGCTTCCAGCCATTTTGAATAAGCTCCCAACTTAGGAAAAAAAAACTAGTCATGGTGAGACACTCTCTCATATACATCACACAGGAACACAATCCTTCTCAAAAGCTAGCCATACCTTTAAAAGACACAACTCACTGGAGAGATGGCTCATCCGTTAACAGGTAGGCTTACAATTAGAAACAAGAGTTTCTTTTGCAGTACCTATTCTGTCTCTCCCCTCTAAGCTGGGTATGGTGGTTTATGCCTTTAATCCCAGCACTCTGGTGGCAGAGGCAGGCAGAGCTCTGTGAGTTCAAGGCCAGCCTGATCTACGTATCAAGCTCTAAGACAGCCGGAGCTATATTATAGAGAGACACTGACAAAGGGGGGGGGGGAGCAACCATGTTCATTCCCATTTTTTAATTTATTACAGGTTTGAGGATTTTTTTTTTATATAAAATGATCAAAAACCAAGCCAAAACAAAAACTGAATGGTAAAAACTTTTATTCTTTATAAAACAAAACATTACAAGTAATTTAAATTTTCAATAATATGTGACTGGCTTAGTATATTACAGTTCATTTATCAGTTGTGGAATGTTCTAGTCCAGTAAAAAAGAATACAAAGGTCATGTAGACTTAAAGGAAAATTTGACTGGTAAGTAAAAGCAGTGTAGTACTAAAGCTGTATGTAACGTTTATGTATATTCCCAAATTATTGTTATTATAATTATGTAAACTGCTCATGTTGAAAAGATTTAATACAATCTTTAATCACATAGTTGGGGCTAAGAAAGCTTGTTTTTTTCCCAAGCACTGTAGAGTAATGTGTGGTTGTGCATTTCTGAGTGCCTCTACGTACCTCTTTTCAGGCCATCCACCTCCCTGCACAGCCAGGAAACAATGAAACTGAGGAGCAGGGAGCCTCAGAGGCAAAGCCAGTGTACCTGGAGGGCTTCCTGTAGCGCCATCCCTAGACTTGGATCCACAAGACAAAAACAAAAAAAACAAACAACAACAACAACAACAACAAAAAACAGTTAACAACAGAACCCTCTTATCTTTATAAATTACTATCATTTTGTGTCAGCTCATTCAAATTGATGTCTGTGAAATTCAAAACAAGAAAACAAATTCAGAGTTTCTCTTATAATCTTTAACTTATAGCTGGATAGTAAATTCCACATGGGGCCTCCCCCACGGCACTGCAGACTGTGCTGTCTGCCTTAGAGTGAGTCTGCTACCTGGAGACACACAGTGGTTTAAACAGCACACCCCTGAAAGTCACCTGCATCTCCAGACAACACTCCAGCTAAAGCTCACCAGGTTAGCTTCGCTGTCCTCTTGGCTCTCGGGTGCAATCATTCCACTTGAGATGATACTTTTTCAGGGGTAAGAATTTGCTTTTAGCCTTGGGTTAGAAAGAACTTTGTAGGAATTCCAGCAGACTATGCTGTTAGTGTTTTCTTAACACGGAAGAGATTTAATCCTTGTGGACTTGATGTTTTTGTTGTTGCCTTTCATTTACAGTTTACCAAGTGCTAGACACCAGCACAAACTTACATAGACTGCCTCCCCCTTGTTCTTCACAAAAGCTTATTGAGCAAGGGGTCCCCAGTGACGAGAACGTCTACATCCCATAGCAGAGGTGCTAGCTTAAGTGTCACAAATGCAGAGATGAAAAGCTCAGAGCGAGAGAGGAGACTGATGAAAAAACAAAAACAAAAACAAAACCCCATGTAGCAACAGCACTGGAGACATAGCTTGGAGGTAGAGTGCCTGTCGCCACGTGTGAGGCTCCAGCTTCAATCTCCAGCACAAGTGGGGAAAGAAAAATGTTTGTGTGCATGGTCAGGGTTTGTGGCTGGAGCACTGTACTACCTTGCAGAGGCCATTGTTGTAGACTATTAAAGATGTTACATTTGTTTCTTCTGTGGAATATTTGTTTAGTGATGCAAAGATGTGTTGCATTCTCTTATGTTACATTTGTTTAACTCTGTGGAGCTGTGTTACTTTGTCTGCCTAAAACACCTGATTGGTCTAATAAAGAGGTAGGCAGGAGAAAGGATAGGTGGGGCTGGCAGGCAGAGAGAATAAATAGAAAAAGAAGAACAAGAAGATCAAGGAGCAAGAAAAGGAGGAGGAGGACTCCAGGGGCCATCCATCCAGCTACACAGCAAGCCACGGAGTAAGAAGTAAAGAAAGTTATATAGAATAAAAATAAAAGCCCAGAGGCAAAAGATAGATGGGATAATTTAAGAAAAGCTGGTTAGAAACAAGCCAAGCTAAGGTCGGGCATTCATAAGTAAGAATAAGCCTCCATGTATTTATTTGGGAGCTGGGTGGTGGGTCCCCAAAGAGCAAAGAGTAAGAGCAAAAAATCCAACTATAGGTCACTAGTTTGCTCCAGCACCTACTGTGAGCAGCTCATAACCACCTATAATTCAGGTTCCAGGGGTTCCAAAACCTTCCTCTGCTCTCCACAAACACCTGCATTCATATAAACATATGCCTGCACCCACATAATTTGAAATGAAATAAAACAAAAATATGTAGTGAGATGAGGCCTTTAGGGGTATGTGGAAGAATGATTAGCTCTGCAAAGGAGACTGCTTGACAGTCTCAGGAATTCCATATACCTGACATGCACAGATACTTTTTTAACCCAGCAAAACCAAACAAATCTGCCTTCTTAGAAGCAGGGACAGGAACCTGGAAGACAGCCGATCTCACAGGGCTAGGAGTACCACTCCCGTGTTAGAACAAAAATAATGGCCAGGAAACAGCAAGAATTAATGGGTACATTTGGGGCTCCTTTTTAATACTTGTTCATGGAGCATATATATTTTGGGGGTCTGTCATGGTGGTGAGGCATCATTAAAGAGCTGGCAACACCACATGAATATGCAGCCTGGCACAATTTTGGTAATACTGACAACAGAGGAAATATTAATGCTGAACCTTTAACACAGCTACAGAGTAGTTAATACCTCTGGGAATGCTGACCCCATCTGAGATTCCTTGGGATCCTCACAGGTATGTGTGCATCCACATGGCTATTCCTTCTTGAATTCCTTCTTAAATGCTTATTCTAAAGAAAAATGCTAGGGTTCTCTTATTGTTCATCCTGCTTATTTTTATTTTCCCTTCTCAGAATACTAATTAACATCTTGTATAATGCAGTCCTCCTAACATCCAAGGCAATGTCCTACAGTTACTTTCAATATAATGTCCCAAATTCTCAAAGCATCATTCACACAATCTGTCTCCTACTCACCCACCCCACAGCCTCATCTGGAGCCAGGAACACCTTCTAGTCAACCCCTCACCTCTACGGGTTTACCTCTGGAAGGGCTAGGCTTTCATCCTGGGATTTTTCATATCTTGTGCTTTTCACCTTTATTTCTCTCTGCTCTACTTGACTCGGACAAACTCCATCGTTTCCAGTCCAGACATCTTCCACCTCAGTCAGTATCTCCTACGTATCTCCATGCCTCCCTGCCAATTGTATGATCACGTTTGACAAATCTACTTCTCCCACAATCTGTAAGTTTCTTGAAGTCAGGGACTGTGCTAGATATTTATAGATCCATGCTGTGTCTATCACATAAAATGCTCTCAGGAACAGATGTTGAAAAAAGTAATTAATACTTAATTATTAAAGATTTCTATGTGGCATAAAGAGTAATGACTAATTTGCATAATACTGGAAAGCTGCACTGAAATTAAAGATGAAAAAGTTAATAAAAACTTGTTTCTTAATCACAAAACTTTAAACATAAATTACAATGCCTCCCAAATTTAACCTGTGACTATATTAGTCACGTGGCAAAGGGGACATAAGGTTACAGGTGGAACAGAACTTGCTTATCAGTTGATCTTAAAGCAGGGAGACAGATGGGATGATCTAGGCTGGGCTAAGATCATCACAAAAGCATCTACTTTGTTGGGTGGATAAGCAGAACAGTGGACCAGTGAGCAGGCCATTGGAGAAAGGCTCTACAGATGCTGGTGAGTCTGGAGGTGGAGAAAGAGGCCCTGAGCTGAGGAGTAGGAGTGGCCTTCAGAGTTGGACAAGGCAAAGAAATGTTCTCCCCCGAAGCTTTCTGATGCCCCCAATCCTGCCAAAACCTTGATAGAGAATCATTTAATTGTGTGACACCCACTTTGGACTTCTGTCTTCCAGGATGAGAAGCTATTGAATGTAGTTTTCATTCACTGGTGGGTCAGGTTCACAGCACCCAAGAGAACACAAATATACCCACACAACACAGGAGTGATGCCGGCCGAGTATCAACACAACTTCTGAGAAGGTGGCTGATCCATGGTGTTTCTCTCTTTCTTTGTAAGGGAAATCTGGGGCTGATAACGGTATTTCAATGTCAAGAGCCTCTCTTCAGTTCTGGTCTGCCTGCCTTTTGGAGCCTGGCATAGCAGGTCTCATTTCACCCAACAGGGACAAGTGAAGAATGGTGAGTCACTGCCTTTGAAGACTGGCCGCAGCGCTGCACACATCACTTCTATTTCTATCACACTGGGCAGAACTCGCAGCATGGTGGCACCTAGGCCCATGCAAGGAGGGAAGACGCCGAGTCATTACTGCAAATGGCCAAGTGGCACAAACCAGACAGTTCTGTCATTAACAAGTATTCGGTCATTATGAAATACCCTGGGAACTTTGTCTTCAGTACACATAAACTTCGATTTAAATTGCTATTTTGAAGTTGTCTCACCTAGATCTTAGATGATAGAACCTTCATTCTACAGTTATTGAATAATTGGTATCTGCCGGATTTTGCATGAAGAACATATGTCAGGATATCATAAGATACTTACCTCACATTCAAATTTTAATTTAGAATTGGTGGGTACTCTTGATTGACAAGGTTGGACACAATTTCTAATTCCAACTTACATATTACTCATGGTCCTGGCAGGAAGCAGGTGGTACCTTCAGAGGGTCACTGAAGAGAGTTTAATGAGGAGAATTCTTACAAAGGTGGAGGTCGCTTTTAAGGGAAGGAATGGTAGAGAATCTAATCATTCCATCTCTAGGCCTGAAGGTACAAGGGGGAGAAGCAGTTTCTAGAACTTGGCTACAAGACACAGGTGTCTGGCAGGAGCCACGGGCCTTAGTCGAAGAAGAAGCTGCAGCCACTGCGAGGGAGTAAATATCCTGGACTCTCTCCTTCCTTTGATCCTTTGCCAATGCTTCCCAAACTGGCTGAAATCAAACCGACTCAGAGGACCAAGGCGCCCGAGTGATGGGGTCCACAGAAGCCAGCTCTCAGAGCACGGGCAGGCGGAGGCTGGGTTTAACCAGTCAGGAGAGTAATCATCATGCAAACAAGCAGGACGTCTTAGAGTTGGAACAATTTTTAAAAACCTTGACCTAAAAGATAAAGGGAAAGGAACTATGTCAGACCTGGGACAAAGACAGACAGAGGAAGAGAATGATTAAAAAGTAAAATAGTGGGGTGGGGCACACTGTGTGGCCTAGTTATACAAGATAAAGCAGGAAGAAAAAAAAAACAGAAGCAAGGAGGTAAAAGGATGAGCAAGGTCAGACCCCCTTAGAGTTGTGGATGTAACTGAACACGGCATATTTCTGTCACAATCTCTTCCATGTGACCCTAACACAGTGGTGAAAGATTGAAAACAGGCTACGATTTTTTCTTTTAAATTTTAACTACATACGTTCCAAGGAGTAAATGCTGGCAGTGCCTATAACTGAGACTATGGGTTACAGAAAGCCAGGGGTGTAAGCCAGACAACAGATGCACTCTGTAACAAAATCAGTCAGCTGCTCAGAGAAGTCAAGATGCCAAACAAAGAAATCGACGGAAACAAAGGGGCAAAGACAGCAGTGCAAACCGAATGCCAGACCCCTGACACCACGCTAAGTACACTCCACTCAAAACCATTTGTTCATCCTGGGCTCTCGTGTGTCAGTCACCTGAGCATGGCACTCGTGTTCACACGTGGTACCAATAAAAGACATCTTCTAGAGGAGCTACTACTGCATTAGCTTTTGGAGATATCACTGACATTCTGCAAATATCTCCCTACATTTATGCTTTTATATCTGATGTTTTGAAAAAATGCCACTTATGTTAACAGCCCTTACCTGTCAACAGTTCATTGACTTCTACTAAAAGTGGGAGCCTCATCGGAGAGAAATTTTGTGGGTGCAGCACATAATAAAAATGACCTGGAGCCATGAGGAAAACCTGTCTCTTCATCACCTCCAAGAAGGCTTGATTGGAGAAGCTGCCATGGGTCCTGAGGAGGAATGTTGGTTAAGCATTGCCCTGGGGTTCTGGCTGCAGAATCTGGTTGAACTGCAACAGTGAGGTGACCACCAGCTTCCTTTGATCCATTATGGACAGCAAATCCAGTCTCAGCTGAGCCATTACGGAGAAGCAGCTGGGTCTCTGCATTCTTTACATGTGTCCTGGTCAGTTTTTTTGTCAACTTGACACAAGCTAGACTTATTTGAGAAAAAGGAAGCTCAGCTGAGAAAATGCCCCCACCAGAGTGGCGTGTAGTGCCTTTTCTTGATTGATGACTAAGGCGGGAGGGCCCAGCCCACTGTGGGCAGTGTCACCCCTGGGCTGGTGGTCCTGGGTTCTATAGGAAAGCAGGCTGAGCAAGCCATGATGAACAAGTCAGTAAGCAGCGCCCCTCCATGGCTTCCGCAGCAGTTCAGCAGTTCGCACCTCCAGGTCCTCGCCCTGGCTTCCTTCAGTGGAATGTGATCTGAGAGTTTAAGCCTGACTAGCCCTTTTCTCCCCTGTGGTGGTTTGGATGTCTCCCATAGGCTCACAAATTTAAATGCTTAATCACCAGGGAGGGAGTGAAACTGTTTGAGAAGGATTAGGAGGTGTGGCCTTGTTTGAGATGTGTCATTGAAAGTGTGCTTTAAAGTTTAAAAAGCTCAAGCCAGGCCCAGTCTCTCACCCTCTCTGTCTGCTGCCTGTGAATCAGCAGGTAAGGCTTTCAGCTACTGCTTGAGCACTGTGTTTGCCTGCTTCCCATCACGATGATCATGGACTAATCCTCTGAAACTGTAAGCAAGCCCTCAGTTACATGCTTTTTTTAATATAAAAATTGCCTTGGTCATGGTGTCTCTTCAAGCTGCCTTTGGTCATGGGTTTCATCACAGCAGCAGAAACCCTACCTAAATGAGTACACTCCCACCACTTCAACAGTCCAGTGTGAAAACAGGTACTGAATGGATTGCTGGCATTCACATAGACGTCTTCCACGAGACTGCCTGACATTTCAGTTTAATGAGGTCTAGAGAATTGTTGTCATACTTCTAAAATGCAACTTGGAAAGTGCTATACCCTTGATGTAGAACACCTGATTTAAATTTCAAAATAGTAATTTATCAGTCTATCCTAATATATATATATATATAATGAATCTTATATGAAGTATGTGCAAAGAGTATGAAACATTTATAGGAAAAAATTGTAATTGAAAATAGTCCAACCATTTACATTTCCAATAAATTTTGAAAATATAGTAATCCACTTTGTACAGTATTTCTTGCTCAACACATATAATCCTAGTGTTAAAAGTAGTGTTAACATCTGACTAACACATGAGTGTAGGCATGTTCTGTGATGTGTCACAGTCACTGTGAACAAGACATGAAGCATGTTAAACTCACACTAGCCTTGTTACCCATTTTATCTAAACTCTTGTTAATTTAAGACAGGGTTTCCTGTAGCCCAGGTTGGCCTGGAACTCAGCATATAGCCTTGAACTTCTGATTCTCCTTCCCCTACCTCCCAAGTGCTGGATTTAATCTAAACCTTAATAGTTATTTCCTTCATAAGTTGGTTCCAAAAATATTTTCCCTGTTTTTTGGTTAAACTATCAGACAAGAATCAAGTTTAAAGCAGTACTTTATATTCTGAGACTTCTCTCTTTCTAGTACAGATTTTAAATATCTTCCATAACATTATGAAACTATGAATCGAAGTCAAATATTTAATTTGTAAGTTATCAGAGGCTTTTGTAAAAGTTAAACTTTGTATTAAATTTGGCTTACCAGTATTTCCTGGGCATGTTTTAAAAATAGAACTGAGCCGAAGTAGTTATTTGGGGAAAAGGAAAATGATAATGGAAAGATTAAGATCAAGATTAGCATGGGCATGAATGGCAACTATTGTGTTACACACTCACCTCAACTGTTCCTAAGATAAAGTAAAACACACAATCTTTACTTCATTGATGAGAACAGGTTCAGAAAACTTAAAACTTATTTCAGATATATTTATTAAACATCGACTAGGCGGTTAGGTACTCTGCCAGGTGTTGAGGATACAGAAATGGCAAAGAAGGGTTTACCATCCCCATAGTTAATAACTGCCCCCACATACAACATCAGCAACCCCAGAAGGAACAAAGTATCTTCTGTTTGTTTTTGTAGGCCTCTGATTGTTCCCGCTAAGAACACAGATGGGTTTACAAGCCAGAAAAAGAACTGGATGTGTGACACCTCCCAAGTGTAAGGGAAGGTAAAACATGTGGTAGAGTGAAGTTAAAAAAAAAAAAAAGTTCTTTTTGGCTGAAACAAGGGTGACTGTAACAAGTGGAAACTAGACACCTTCTGGTAAAAGACAAAAGTTTATGATCTGATTCAGAAAGCAACTGAGGCCTGGCCATGGCTCATTCTCGTGATCCCAGCCACTCAGGATGCTAAGGCAGAGGGCTCCCAAGCTTAAGGGCTGAGCTATAGGGTGATCCAAGGCCACTAATCCAAGGACACCATCTGATACAAATGTGTCTCAGTGAACATGGTACTGAGGAAAAGAAGCACTGCCTACATGTACAAGGACCAAGAGACAGTCTAGTTTTGCAACAAGAATAGAGCTGATGTGCAAAGAACATGTGTACTCCCCTTCTTCAGACACAACAAATGTGGGAAGCAGCTTTTCATCTATAGCCAGCACTTCTTAATTAATGGACTTCGGCTGTACACTTACTTCATTTAATGACTCTTTTTAACATTTGGGGATTGGAGGGTTGTTTTTTTTTTTTTTTTTTGAGGGGTGGGGGCAGAGTCTCACTATGCAGCCAGAGTTGGTCTGGGACTTGTGACCTTCCTGCCTCCACCTCCCACAAGCAAAGCTTGCTGGTGTATGTCACCATGACTAGTCACACAATAAAATACCTTGCCTAAGGCATGGCAAAACCTGTGGGCAGAAACTTTCCAAGCAGCTTGCATGTATCCGCACTGTGCTGCTTTCGTGTATTATTTCTTAGACTCCAAGGCATGTTTCAGTTGTTATTTCTATCCATAACTCTCGTTTATACATTAACATTTAGTAACTACATATCTGAAATAATAGCTTAGGTCATTTATCTTATAAAGTTGTCCCACACAATTCCTCCTTTGAAAGGGGTGGGAAGCAGGGAGAGAAAGGTAAATTTAAATCTTAATTATTGAAGATGGGTATCAAAGTATTTGGGGTCTTGTACAAAGTCAAGGACTTAAGATAAAAATCAGCCTCAGCGAACACTACTCAGCTTTGCTTTTAGCCTTGAGGTCATTATACTGCTCAGATGTGTGTGAAAGTGTAGTTATTTTGAGGCAGAGTCCCACTGTCGTAGTGAAGGCTGGCCTTGAACTTTCGGCCATCCTCCTGCTTCAGGCTCTCCAAGTTTCGGATTACAGGTTTCCAGGCGTGCTCCCCCTAGAGCTGTTTATGCCTCAAGGGCAAGTCATAACGCCCCCACGAGCCTGGCCACCCTGGGACCCTGCAAGGGCGGAGTAGGCAAGGTGACAGCAGGTGAACTAGGCGCGGATGAGGAAGTGAGCCTGGCACCGTGCGGGGATTACTCATGCGGCTTTCCTGAGAGCGGAATTTCTCGCCTCCTTCTCCGTCCAGCTGAAGTTCAACCCAACTGCTGTCACTTCCCGTCCGGGTAGGCTGGGGAAACCCGCGCGTCTGTGGGAGGGGAGTGAGTTTAGACCGAGCTGGCCAGGTAGCTCGCGGCGCGTCCACGCTGTCCACGTCCCCGGCGCGCACGCGCGGGGCCGCCGCCGCCCCCGACAGCTGGAGCGCGCGGGATCCGAGGAGTGCGCACCGGTCCGCGCGCGGGGCCGCCGCGGGTGTGGCCCGTGCCGCCAGCTCCACCTGGCCCAGGAGGCCACCCCGTCGCCTCCCGGGCCCCGTCCCCAGAGCCCCGGCACCCTCCTCCGTCACCCCACCACACCTGAGCAAAACTTTTCCCTCGCCTCCCCGATTCAAACTCCGCAGCGTCCGAGGCTGCCGCAAACCGCCCCGGCCCTAGCAACAAGGTTCCGGCCGTAGAGCGAGCGCCGCTAGGTGTTAGGAAGGTGATGTCGTAAAGCCGCGAGTGTCGTAAACCAGGTGCGGTGGGGAGGGGGAGGGGTGGAGGCGGCGGG